AAGGTCTGTGTGTATGTGTGTGTACACCTATATTTCACGGATAAATAAACAAGCAACGGAATACATTAATTATATATATATACACACACACATGTGTATTTGTAGTCCAGCGGCATACACACTTGTACTGGCGGAAACGTGTATGTTGAGCGTCGTTTGTATTGCACGTGTCAAGGCTTTCCCCTATTCGCATTCCGATGTTTTAGGTAGTCCAGCGTTTTAGCCTCAAGAATATTAATTATTGTCAATGACAGCGTTGGACATACTTCCCAAAGGCTCCATGTACCCATATAGTAAGTACTTAGGCCTTAAAGTACCCTTATAGGGACCCCATTAAGGCCTAAGTACCTACTATATGGGTACATGGAGCCTTAGGGCTTAGTAATGCCTCATGATGGCTGTGGCGGCTCCCTTAACCCAGGGAGCCCTTAATGAAGCTCTAGACTCTACACCCTAAGCCCTATAGACACAGGAAAATCTGACCCCCTGTCAACCCTAAACCCTGAACCCCATAAGCCCTACAAGCCCTAAGCCCTACTTAAAGGATCATGAGACTTAGTAACTAGGGATAATTAGGGTAACTATACTTATATCTACCTATAGTCCCAATTAGGGTACTTATAACCTTACTTACTAAGTCGCATGATCCCCCAAGTAAAGCACTCCGCCCTAAACCTTAACTCCTAAACCCGCTTAACCCCTAAACCCTTAAACCCCTAAACCCTAAACTCGTAAGCCCTAAAGCATTAAACCGCGTATTCCCTGAAGCCTGGCCATGAAGCTTCGAGCATCCTAAACCCTTAACGCCTAAACCCCTAAACCCCTAAACTTCGAGCATCCTAAACCCGCAACCCCTAAACCCCTAAACCCTAAACCCCTAAACCCTAAATCGTGGCCCCAAACACCAAGAACTGAAAGTCTAAGCCCTAAGGCCCGGGCCTTATACTGCTAAAGGGTATTGTAAAGCAGCCTACTCTCTCGATCCTCCCGGGGATCTGGGTAGGGATGCCAAGGAAGTACAGCTTTCACGTGGACGTGGGGACCAGTGGCGACTCTTCGGCCCAGGCCGGTATTCGCCTGTAGGGTGTGTGTAGGGTTTTGGTTTTTGGGTTCATGGCTTTTAGGGTTTAGGATTTTGGGTTTGGGATTTTGGGTTTAAAGGATTTCGGGTTTGGGGCCGAGGAATTCGATGAGAAAACTGAGAGTACACAAGCCCGCAAAACAAGACGACCTGAGCCGAATGTCTGCAAGGTGCCTCGGATTTAGGATTGTATTGTCTGGGGTTTCGGTGTTTTGGCGTTCCGGGTTTTGGGTTGGGAATGTCTGCGTCCTTTCGCTTCGCAAGTTTTCGATCTCTTCGTCCCTCCAGCAGTACGCGGCTTACAGAGCAGAGTGCAGAAGTATGTCGGAGGACGGGATGAACTAGAATGTCACACTCCTGTACTTTTCACAAGCCATAAACCACTGATAACTTCCACAGCTTCCGTGCAGGGCCTTGCCCTTAACCCGATGCGGCAATGTAGAACTTCTGGAAACCCTACGAAAAGAACTTGGCCCTTGCTTGTTTGGAGACTTGGGCCTGGGCTTAAAGACTGCAGTGTACTTTGCGTTCGAGTTGGGGATTTAGGCTTTGGGTCTCGATCTGGGGTGAGTGTAGGATTATATAAGGGTCTTGCAGGTTCAGGATATAGAGGTGAACTAGCGTTCACGGTTTGAGGTTTCACAATCCTACATGTTGGAAGGCCTTGATTTCCCTAGCCTTTTAATTCAAGCATGCAGGCAGTAGAGTCGATACGGTACAGGGGCTTATTGCCGCACGCCCATCCAGGTCAGCGCTGGAATCAACCTCGCCAAGGTGCCTGCTGCGCTGCGGGGTGTAGGGTTCAGGACTTAGAGTTTGCGGTTTAGGGCAGCCGCTCAAAAACATGAGGACAAGTAATAGGTTATGTTGGATCGGAGATTCCGCCCACTTATAGACTAAAACCACAGCATGTTCATTTCAAGGACCCCGAAATAACGTAGGGCCGCTTGTGCTGCCCCCCAAACGCCAAATCTGCCACACGTAGATTTCTTTGTCCGTTTAATTCTAAGGCAAGCATTCAACCCCAAACCAAACACCTTGAACCAAGTCTGTACAGGTTTGACAGTGCAGGCGTCTCCGACTCTCAGTGTTGTCTGCCAAACATGGAGCCTACGGTCTTAAGTCCCGAACTCCAACCCCCAAAAGGGTTTCAAGGCTTGAGGTTCATGAATGGAATTCAAAGTACCAGGATGCGGGGCCCACTTGGAGGATCATGGGACTTAGTATGGTCATAAGTACCTTAATTGGGGGCTATAAAGTAGTATAGTTACCCTAATTATAACCCTATAGTTACTAAGTCCCATGATCCTTTCATAAAGGATTTAAGTACGTGCTGTTCTTTCCAGCGTTCTAGCATGCCGGGCTTCAGGTTGTCGTAGGCTTTCTTCTAATGGCTGAGGGATTCTGAAGGCTTCGGGGTCATGTCTACCCCAGAGACTTCAAAACGCAGGCTTTAGGAGTGCTCCGCAAATTTTACAGGGCTTCTGACACATTCATGGATTGAAGGATCTGCTCCTCAATTTGGGGTTTCTTGAGTTTTGTTGGGTAAGTCTGCGCCTTCACCTTCAGCTCTTCTCCTGCGAGTCAAGTTCCACCTTTTTCTGTTCTGGAGATTGGCAGGGTTCAGGGTCTTGAGGCTAGTATAGGAGTCTAGGGAGTTGCAGTTGTCTGTGACATCATTAGGCAGAAACTGTCCCAAAGCCCAAACCTCTGAGCCCCGAAACACCCAAACTGAACGTGGAGGCTCACTTCAGAGTTCGCGAGAATTTTCGTGAAGAGATCGTCTTAAACCGAAAGAATACAGCAGGAAGTCGATTTCCTTTGCTTTCCCCGAGGGCCCAGGTAGCGTTTAAAGTCCCATGAAGGATCATGAAGGGATCCTTAGAAGGTTTGATAAGGGCTCCTTTACGGGATCTCTTGAAAGGTTCTGAAGTGCGCGTATTTAGGTAGTTAAATACTCAGACCTGGAAAGGTTTCCTATAAATCTACGTACTCTAGGATCAAAGCATACCCAAAGGCCCCAAAGTAGTTCCTCTTTGGGGGGGTTCGTATATAAAATCCTATAAGGATATCCCAAAAAGGAACTACTATGGGGCCTCTGGGTATGCCATGACAGGAAGACTGGTCTGAACTGCTCAACAACGAGGCCTGGTTGTCCGATGCGTTGGGAAGCACAACAAGTCAATGTTAATACCGTCTTCTCGTCGTTGTGACGCCGGCCTGCTCCTTGTTGCTGCGACGGGACTCTTGAAAATGCCTCAGTGACTTCAGCGCTGGGAGGCCTTCATTCCTACTATCGGCTACTACGGCGACGACGATGACGATGACGACGAAAGCGACACGACCCCGCGACCACGCCCACGACCCCGACTGCGACCACACCCATGCCCACGACGACGACTGCGCCTCCTAAGGCTGCAGCTATTTTGTCACTTGCTAGTCGCAGTTTTCCGATTCGCATTCCTCTGAGCAGTGTTGTGTGTCTCGTCATTGTTGCTGCCTTTGTGCTGGTCCTTCTTGTTCCCTAAACCATATACCGCAGGTTGCTGGTAGATCCCAGATGTCTGTGCTCAAGGCTTTGTGAGTTTTGAGGATAGGCTACTCCCCCGAAACCGCAAGCCCTGAACCCCCAACTTTAGGCAGTCAGACTCTGACCTCATGTATCACAACACCTCCTTGAACCCTAAAGCTCGAGAAAACCTTCTCCAGTGGCATTGTTACGTTTTCTGTGCCAACTTGGCCTGCTGTCCCGAAGCCTTCCCCGGAAAGGTTGAATTCGTTCACACGGTGCATGCATTGAATCCGTGTAGCCTTGGTTGCTCTGTGCCAGTTGCTACCCTTCTTCCGCTCGCTGGCCACGTCCGAGGACGCAACGAACTTGCTTGTGATTCGTGACCTCAAGCCTCGACCTTAAACCCTCAAGCCACAAAGCCCTAATGCTGAAACCCTAGACCCTTCAGCCCTAAACCGTCAGACCCCAATCCCTCAACCCTAAACTGTCCTATTCCTCACCCCAAGACCCTAAACCCTTCTGAAGCTTCCGAGAAGGGACCCCAAAACAGACTTGAGCTCCGAAATCCCTCACTAAAGAGACCCGGATGTTGTGGTTTTAGGGTTTGGGGTTCAGGGTTTGGGAGTTTGGAGGTTTTAGAGGTTTAAGGTTTGGGGTTCAAGGTTTAGGGGTTTAAACCGGGTTTAGAGGTTTAGGGGTTCAGGGTCTGGGGTTCAGAGTTTAGCGGTTTGGGTTTAGGATTATCGTGTGTAGAGTTCCTTGAAGAGTTTAGGCTTCAGGATTTGGAGCTGTGTCAAGCCACGTGAAGCCTGCAAGGTCCAGCTCCTTAGGCTTTAGGGTTTAGGGTTTTAGGTACTACCGAGCTAAGGAACTTAGATCTTGCTTGAGTTTCGCGGTTCTTCACTGCCGGTTGCCTTTCTTTTTAGGGGGGTAGAAGTGTCGTTGCCCAACGATACCATTAGGGTTGCTGGGTGTAGTGCTTATGGTTAGTGATATTTGTTACTAGAGGGTGCGAACCTAGAACCGACTCTTTCCCCAAGGTTCCAAACAGGCAAAGTAACGCCAAAGTAGGTGTTTATGCACCTCAGACCCCAAAGTGGTATTGTTATTATTGTTCGTATTATTATTTGTTGTTCATGAAGGGCTGGAAATGACAGTTTCCCTTGTGCTCGCATCATGGGCCTACAAGAACCTCCTGACCAGGTGCGCAGCTGACAAAGCCAGGTAAACTCACCAGCCTCACTTGCAAGAGAAGTGTTCACTAACGCTAAATGCTAAACCCTGAGTTTAGGGTGTGGGGTTTAGAGATTTACTACCTAAACCCCTAAGCCCTAAACCCTAACCCTAAACCAGCCTCTCGGCTCCGCACCTCCCAGCGGTGAGGCTGGACTTGACTAAGGAGGAGCCATGGATGCTTTCAGGACTCTCGCTGCTGCGGCTTCTGTCAGCGATAAGAAGGATCAACTCTGCTCTCGCGGCTGGATTGTGACCAAGGATGTGGAGTCCCTTCGGGTTGGGGATCCTTTCAATGTGTGCCTCCGCATTGAACAGCAAGACACAGCCCACCACGGCATTGCGGAAATCGTGAACCTGAAGCTTGGGAACGGTTTTGGCAACAGTCCTCCGAACCGGTTCCCCCAGTGCACGGGTGAAAAGGTCCACTATGACTCCAGTGCCCTTCGTCGCAGGCTGCTGCCGGGACAAGTGTACATGGTGGTGGGAGCCCGGATGTAGGATGGAAAGGAGGATTGCATCCTCAGGCTGCCTGCTACAGTGGAGTCTGCTGGATGCATTCTCTTGCCTACGAGGGCGGACGAGATTGTGGGCATTGCGGAGATCTTTTGTGGTGGTATTTCTGGATGGTCCAGGGCAGCCCAACAGTTGCCTGCCTATCCTGTCATCCGCCTCGACCACTGTGGCATGTGCATTGCGAATACGATGCTCAATGAGCCCAGTGAGATCTTATACAACGAAGCTGCCGACCAAAGCCACTTTTCAGTCTTCTGGGGTGAGGCACTGGACCTTCGGTGGACAGCAGCCCTCGACCATGGCAATGTTGAGGTTCTATGTTGTTCGCCCCCGAGCTTGTCATGGGGAATTCCTGGACCCAAGCAAGGTTTGGCGGATTCAGTCAACACTGTGGCTTGGTGGGAACTCGCCCTTCTGGCCAGAGTCACACAAAGAAGGGCAGTGATTGTGGAAACCTCCCTACAGTTTGCCGTGCACGAGGACGCCAAGACCTTCGACGAGATGATGCTTTGGGCAGGATATGTTGTGTCATGGAGAGGAAAGATTGAGGCATCCACCTTGGTGCCCACCGAAAGACCAAGACACTTCATTATCTACTGGAATGCGGCCGACCAGCCAAGTGCAGGCACTCCCCTGAGGATGGTGAGATTGGGTGTTGAATCTAAGAAGACCTGTGATGGAAGCATGTGGCATGATATGGAGTATGAGAACTTCAAGACCACTGAAGTCAAGCAAGAGCTCCTCCCGAAAGTCCTCAGCAGAGAGCTTCTTCCTCTCCATCTCCGTGCTATCACAGGTTCCCCTCTCCACCTTCGATCGGTGAAGCCATACCTCCCGTTGCCTACACCGCCGCCTACATACCACGATGTCTTGGAAATGCCCTGGCCAGTCCTCTTCAAGCGGGGAATGAACTTGCCAGTGGTGGATCAGAATGGCCGGATCAGACTCATCAACAAATGGGAGATGGCCCGGGCCATGGGCCTTCCGGCCGAGATTATCCTTCCGGACCCTGAGGGTGATGCTGCCAAGCTGTTGGCCCAGGCCGTGGTGCCGGCTCAGGCGCTCCAAGTGCTGGCTGCTACAATCGCCCACCGACAGGAGAAGCCTCTGGAAGAGAAAGCGGTCCTCAAGTACATCGAGGAGGGCACCAAGGATTTGGGGAAAGGCTGGACCGACTTCAGCCTCCTGGAGCCTTTTGCCAAAGATGGATGGGCTACTCTTATCTTGAAGGGGGCAGATGCTGAGAGGACCACCTCTGGTCGCCTCAGATCCAGGCTGATTGGCTTGCAACACCAGCTCGACAACTTGGTCAGGATGAGACAAACGAGGACTCCACTCCTGCCAGAAACCTGCAGACCTCTCTACGATGAGCTCATTGAAGAGGAGGAGGTCCACTACGAGCACAAGATCTTCCAGGTTGACAATGGATATGTGGGAATGCTCCTCAATGAAGAGGACACTGTGGCCTCCATCCATGTCAAGATTGCTGACTACATCGGCATACCTCCCCACCTCCTTGCAGTCTCCAAGGTTAACAACCAAGCAGGAGGAATGGACAGATGGGTTGTCACAGGCGAGCTCAACAAGGACCTGAACAACCATGCCCTGGTTTTGGTGGATACAGCCATTCCCCAGGCACAGTGGCTCCCTGCAGAGCTCTATGCGGTGGTTTTGACCAAAGCCTTTCAGGACCACCACAGCTCCATGCCGGACATCCTGGAGCTTAATGGCACGCCTGTTATTGACTGGCCCATTGCACTCAGTTCTGGCGATTACCTCCGTCTACGCTGGAATGGGTTTTCCGACCATGAGGATTGGAAAGATTTGGATATTTTCAAGGAGACAGATGTTCAAGAAGAGGATGTGCCGGTGCCTCCAGACACACCAAACCAAGAAGGCGATGAAAGCAGCCCGGGTGGCCCTGAGGAGGACCCTGCGACCTCCGACACAGAGCCAATGCCACCTGCTCCTGGATCTCCCCAGGATACACCTCCGGTGGCTGATGACTCGCAGCCAGCCAGAGGCATGCCATTCCAGGATATCGGAACCCCGTCTTCCAAGCGACCTCGCACTTGCCTGCCGACGATTTCTTCTACAGCTGAGACCCCGGCACCGACCTTGATGAACTACTCCCAGTTGTCTCCACCTTCTCCGGCGGCTTCTATCTTCTTCCGGTTCCAGGGCCAGTTGATGGCCTGTGGGAACACTGACACAAGGAGCCTCATCCAGGTGGTTACCGATCAGTGGGGCGTGGACCCTTCCCAAATCTACTTCACCATGGAAGGCAAGATCTTGGGCCACGACACCTTGTGCAGGAGAATACCATCGGGTGCCGCCATCATCGTTCGGGGCAAGCTTCGAGGAGGCACGGGCAATGGGGCGATCCTCAAGAAGCTCAAGGGACTCCTCCAATCCAAAGGGGTGCCCCCTGAACAACTGGAAGCCCGTATCGATGACATCAAGAATCAACTTGGGGACCGTGGCATTCGCGACATCTACGAGAGCTTCGACCCATGGTCCAAACTGAAAGCTTCTTGCAACTTCAGACTGGTTCGCGAGGCCGAAGCCAAGGCAAAGCCAAAATCCAAGGACATTCAAAAAGATGATGGCAGCGACCCACTTCAAGAGGCAGACCCTTGGGCATCTGCCATCCGCGAAAGGAAGGCATGGAAGCTAGAGGCTTCCTTCTTCAAATTGCAAGATGGGTCCCAGCCAGCCACCCTTGAGAAGATCACACATGGAGCTTCAGGTATATGTTTGGTGGCACCCAAGGAGGCTGAGATCCTCCTCCAGCAACAAGATGTCATGTCCTCCGATGAGTTGGCAGCTGTGGTCATTGGAGCTCAGCTTCAGTCAGCTGGGAGGTTCTGTGTCAAGGACCTGGAGATTCCCTGCAGAAATGGTGATGAACAGCGAGTCCTGGTACGAGCCCAACTTATCAACCTTGGTGCCAAGGAGGTGGGTGTTTGTGGCGAGGACACCAAGATTGTGATCGACGAGCTCGATGGTGCAATCCTCTCCTGCGAGATCCTTCGGGCTGACACCCCAGACTGGGATGACCTCACTGACGGAGTCATCAAGTTTCTCAAGAAACGACTGCCATCCCTGGAGACGGCTCTCTTTGCCAATTGGGGGAGAAGGTTCTTCGCCAAGGGCAAGCCAGTGGGGGATGGCAAGATTGCTGAGTCTTGCTTTCTTATGCTCAGGATCAAGAAGGAGTTCCGCGATGCCATCCTCAAGACGACTTCTCCTGGTATTTACCTGGCACCCCGGACAGAGGATGGAGCCCCAGATCATCTCTTCAAAGTTGTGTGGTTCCAGGACAAGACAGCTGGGGAGCTTGCAATCCTTGCAAACTCCGAGCCCAAATCCTTTGGGCTCGTGAAGAACAAGTCTGGAGTTGGGATCCGAGTCAAGGCGAAGGATTTTACGAGGTTGAAACAGAAGTGGCAGCCTACCTGGCAGCCTCAGGATGGAACCCCCTATGGCCTCAACATCAAATGCTACTTCGATGTCCAGAACCTCCCGGTCTCCTGCTCCAAGACAGAAGTGCAGAAGTTCCTCAATACCATCAAGTGGAATGCCCTTGCTATCAGGCAGACCAGACCAAGGATCTGGCTCATTGGTGCAGAGGGCCCCCCTTCGTCCACAGTCCATGTGGCGGGCCACGGCACCGTACTTATTACCGAAAGATCTGCCAAAGCACAGGGCAAAGGCAAATCCTCGATCCGCCCGGTGCGCGAGCCGCCCTGGGTGGTTGCCACTGCTTCATCGTCTTCTGGAGGTCGTAGTTGAAAGTGTCCTGCTTCTCATTTCGTTGCTTCATTTCCTCCTTGAAATTTGCCAAATCCTCCTTCATGACCGCATAGGCCGAACTTTGTTCCTTCTGCAGCTGGTCCAACTTCTTCTGGAACTTGTCCTCAAGGTCACCAACCGAACCACTGTCAATATCCATAGCCCATGAAGTTCTCTGCAGAACCTGGGTGAGATCAAGCAGGAGAACCAGTCGGTGGCACAGCAGTTGTCAGCACAACTGTCTCAGCTGACTGCGGCTATTCATGGTCAGAAGGCTGACCTCTCCGCTGAGCTTCAGGCAGCCCAGGGATCTTTGAAGACCGAGCTGATGGGAGAGATGAGGCAGCAGATGTCATCACTTCGGAAGCGAACTCCCTCCCCTTCCAAGGAGGAGGAAGCGAAGAAGAGCAGGCAATGAGGCCTTCCCAGGCCTACAATTCGTCTGGCTAATTTGCTGGACGGCCCAGCGCCACTGATCAACAACTACCGCTTCAGTGGCCCATGCATGCAGCGAACCTACCACGTGGATGATGGTTTTCGTGCCAGAAAGAGTGGATGGGTTTGCCATGAGTTTTTCTTTAATTCTGACCGGGATAATTCATTTCAACCGCACATTTTGTGCAACTGGATGTGGTACAACGGGATTCGAGTTGGAGAAGCCAAGAACCCTGGCCCAGCGACTATGAAGATTACTGGATTGAATGCCCAGTCCCTCAATTCTTTTCTGGATGACAAGAGGTTTTTGGCCTCCCAGGCAGATGTGACAGTTTTTTCTGAGACTTGTGCGACACATTTTGTGGAACAGAAAGCTACGAAAGTGGCTCATGCTGCCGGCAAACATGTCTGCTTTGGCAAGCCGGTCCCCAAACGGACCTTCAAGGACCACAGGGACTGTGCCACCAAAGGCAAAGCCCAAGGAGTGGCGATTCTATCTGAGTGCCCGATGCGACGTCCCTGCCAAACTTGGTCCGACGATTCCTGGGACACCTGCCGTGTCACTGATTCTTTCCTATTGACCCAATCCGGGATGATTCGCATTTTTGCATTCTACGGCTTCCACCAGGGCCATGACGAAGCTGACATCAAGAATGAATCGCTGCTCAGAGAAATTGCGAGTAGGGCCAGCTCTATTGATGTCCCGACTGTCATTGTGGGCGATTTCAACTGTGCATTGCAAGATTTGGCGGTGTGGGAAGACATGTGCCATTGTGGTTGGAAGGACTCAGCCTTGGTCATGCAACAATGGACTGGCGACCCCCCTGCAATGACTTTTGGAGAGATTTCCCGACTTGATTATGTGGTCTTCAACAGCAAGGCGGCGCCGGCTTTTCGTGACATGTATCTTTCATTGCAGCCGGAAACCGACCACAAGTCGATCACGGCGGTCTTTGACTGGTCGGCTCTCCCTTCACAGATCAAACAGTATAGAATGCCGATGGATATTGCCAAGTTGGATTTACAGCCTCATACAATCCTCCATGCAGATCCTCTGGAATCCACCCTGTATGGTCTGGACAAGGCAATTGCTTCTGGTGATACGGACAACGCTTGGCTGACCTTCTGTTCAACATATGAGTCCACCATCGACCAGCTCCTCCAGAAGACTTCTGGTGTTCCCCTCAGACAATCCTTTCAGCGCAGAGGAAAAGCCACCTTCTCTGCTGGCCCGGTGGCCCATTTGCCCACCTCCAGGGCTCGTTCTGGTGAATTCCAGCCTACAGGGGATGAGTCCACAATCCTCCTTCGACAACGGGTCAGACAGATCAGAAGGTTGGAGACCTTTTTTGCCCAGAAACGTCGCCTTGAGACAGTTGAGTTGGACCAGGCTGCGGTGGACAAGTTACACAATGCGACCATTATGACCTGGAGATCTATTCTGGCTGCAACTGGTTTTGGTACCTCTTTTCGGAAGTGGTGGTTGGATGAGATTCGTGATGATTTCCCTCTCCATCTGCCCCGGTCTTCGTTGGCTTTTGACATGATTCAGATCCTGAAGAAGCAGGAGGTCCATTGGAGACAGACCCTGAAGAGGCACCGGAACAAGGCGGTTACACAAGTGTTTGAGGAGGACTGGAAGAAAGGTGGAAGCAAGTTTTACAGAGCTGTTCGCCCGCCTGGGCGCCCGAAGGTTGATTCGCTCGATGTCTCTTCTCACCACAGGATCAATGTTGCACGAGCCCGGCAAAAAGGTCCCATTTCCTGTCGCATGCTGGATGATGATCTGCAGTGCGTTGTGATTGGATCTATTTGGAAACAAGGCAAGGCTTCTGCAAAGGTGGCCAAGATTACGAGGGGAAATGTTCACCTTCGCCCTCTGACTGGTTCTATTACTACTGGCGATATTTTGCAGGTGGTTCCCACGGCCTCCCCTTCTGCTATTCTCCATGCCACAAAAGACTATTGGAACACTTTTTGGAATATGAAGCGTGACAAAGGTACACATGACGATGTTTTCCAGGAAGCCCTCCACCTTCTACCGGCCTTACAGGAGGCCAATTCCTCATTCAATCAGCAAGATCTTGACCATGCACTTTCCTCCCTCCAGACGAACCGGGCAAGGGGAATGGATGCCTTTTCCAACTTCGAGTTGAAGTATATGCCTTACAAGCTTAGGCCTGCTCTCTTGGCCCTACTCAACCTGTTCACTTCTTCTGCTAAGTGGCCAAAAGAACTCTGTCTTGCACGGATGGCCCTCCTTTACAAGTCTGACCAAGTTGGTGAAGTTTCTTCAACAAGGCCCATTACTATCTTGGCTTCGGTTCTGAGATTGTGGGCGAAACTGGTCACCAGAAAGATGTTTTCACACCTCAAGAGTTACATCCCTCCATCTCTCTTTGGTTCCGTTCCCGGGAGATCGGCCACTGATATGGTTGGGATTCTACAGACACGTCTGGAAGCAGCACTCTTGGACAAAGATGACCTTTACGGTGTTTCCCTGGACTTCTCCAAGGCCTACAATACATTGCCTCGCCATATGTTGGAGCAAATCAATGTTCGTCTTGGTATGAAAGCATTCTGGCAACCCTATTCTGATTACCTTGGCAAACTGGACAGATACTTCGTTTGCTCCAAGACATGGAGTGAGCCTATCTCTTCCCAGGTAGGTGTCCCAGAAGGCTGCCCCATTGCGGTCGTACAGATGATTTTGATCACATGGCTCTGCACCCTGTATGTCAACCACAAATCTGGTTCTACACTGTATTCCTACGTGGATGACTGGGTTATTCTCTTCAATGACTCGGACCAAGCAGCAGGGGCTATTCAATCTATTCAAGATTTGGCAAACAGTCTGGGTATGATCCTTTCTTTACAAAAGTCGACCGTCTTTGCCACGCAAACTTCACTGGCGCGATCCATCCAGGGCAAGTTACAATCTGTTGGTCTGGTTCTGGGACAGGCAAAGAACTTCTCTGGTCTTGGTATCAATTTCCAAGCGGCCTCACAACCTTCCTGCCAACTACGATCGGAAAGATGGTCTAAGAGTCTAAGGCCAAGGTGCTGCTTAACAGACTCCAGTATATGCCGTGGTCCGTCCAAAGGAAAACTGACATCATCAATCGCTGCATCTTCCCGCTCACCTTCTATGGCTGCAATACATGGCGAGCTGGCAAGGACTTCACACGTGAAGTCCGTGCCAAGTGCAACCATGCGGTTTGGGGGAAAAAGCAATATCACCTACATTACTTGACTCCGCTTTTTTCTGGTACAGCGTTTGAACCACTCCTTTACATGGCCAGGTATCGTTTCGCGGCTTTCCTTCGGCTTTTGACCCAACACGAACAACTTGTCAAAGACGTTTGGGCCAAGAGTGTAAAGGCCAAGACGTTCTTCAAGAACTCTACCAAGGGTGCAATCTCTCTGCTCCAAAATCTTCTCTTTGACCTTGACTGGGAAATCTACGATGATGGCACATGCGTCACTGGTCAGGGATGGAAGTTTCCCATCTGGGATATTTCACTGGCTCAGTTCTTGGATTCCGCCCGCCGATCTTGGGAAAACAACATCCTTCGTCATCTTCATTCTAAAAACAACCTGAAGGACTTGGATTCTTTTTCGGTATCCTTTTCTCAACAACCTCGCCATGATGACAAATGCTTGGAAGGCTTTATGAGGAAGGTCCGATTGGGTGGCCTTTTCCCCTACAGGCGCAAGAACCATGTTACCCAGGAGGACCTTGCTTGCCTTTTTTGCGGGCAGGAAGATACCTTGCAACACCGGGTTTATGAATGCGTCGGTACTGAGCATATCCGTGCCACTGATAGATGGGATGCTGTTTCTCTACTGCCTCCGGCCCTTGTCTTAGGGGGTTTGGTTGGTGAACCTAAGGAGCTGGAGGACTTTCACCAGGCGCTCGATCGATTGGAACCCTCTCAAGTATCCAAACTCCCGCCTACTTCGTCCAGACGCTTTTGCTTCACAGATGGATCAGCTTTTGGTGTTGATGATTCACAGGCGATTATTTGCTCTTGGGCTGTCACTGAGGCTACACAGTATTCTCCTTCCAACACTTGCAGAGAACAAGGTTTACTGGTTGGGCGTCGCCAGACGGTTTTTAGAGCAGAACTCCAGGCAGTGAATGTGGCACTTGCAATCTCTGATTCTTGTACCATCTACTGTGACAATGAATCTGTGGTGAGAAGGGTTCAACAAATTATTGCTGGTCAACTGTCGGGCACCGTCCTTATACAACACAAAGACCGCGACTTGCTGCGCAACACTGTCGCGCTTGTTAAAGCCAAGGTCCCTGGTTCTATTGCTATTGTTTGGACAAAGGCCCACCGACAACCCCACGAAGCATCGGGAGCTCAGGATCTGTGGTGTATTCATCATAACAACAAGGCTGACTTTCATGCGAAACAAGCTGGTAAGACTGTTCCTCACTTTCTTCTACAGGCCCAGCTGAAACTGTTACAGAAAATCCAGGATACCTTCAAGTCGCGAAGTGATGCTGCCTGCGTTCTCAGAGCTGTCATGGATGAATTCCCGTGAGTGTGAGTGCATTAGTTTTTTATTACTACTCGATGATGTCTGTCGTCGTCTTGCATGCCCGGCAATGTCTGTGGTAGTCTCACGCGCACGCTGGGGACTATCTGTACGAGTGGAACCTAACCCTAAACCCTAAAACCCAAAACCCCTAAACCCTAAACCTTAAACCCTAAACCCCAAACCCTAACCCTAAACCCTAAACCCAAACCCTGGGCCTAAGCTTTGCAAGAGGTTGACTTTTTCTACTCCAGCAGCGACATGGATTCCATCGAGGTATGGCCCTGGCTCTCCTTCAGCTCTCGCTTCTGGGGTCTGTCACAGGGCTTCGATCATCTTTAATGTTTAAGGGTTTAGAGTGTATAGGGTTTAGGGTTTAAAGTTTTTTTAATGTTTAAGGGTTTACATGGTTTAAGGTTTAGCGTGTATAGGGTTTAGGGTTTCATTGTTGTTTAGGGTTCGTGTCACAGGGCTTCGATCTTCTTGAGGTAATGCCCCCCCATACAGCAAGAGTCTATAATAGGGCTCCTATTAAGGTCCTAATATATCTATACTACGAATATTATCCAACTATTACTGAGTGGGGGCCGTACCCCAGATCTTCTGTAATGTTTAAGTGTTTACATTGTTCAGGGTTTAGAGTGTATAGGGTTTAGGGTTTAAGGTTGTTTTATGTTTAAGGGTGTATATAGTTTATAGGGTTTAGAGTGCATAGGGTTTAGGGTTTAGTTGTTTAGGGCTTAAGGGTTTATATGGGTTTAGGGTTTAGAGTGTGTAGGGTTTAGGGTTTAGTTTGTTTAGGGCTTAAGGGTTTGTATGGGTTTAGGGTTTAGAGTGTATGGGGTTTAGGATTTAGGGTTCAGTTTCGTTTTTTTTTAGTGGGTTTAGGGTTTACATGGTTTGGGGTTTAGGGTTAACAGGGTTCAGGGTCGAGGGTTATACCATAAACTCCCGAACCCAAAAGCCCAAAGGATCTTTTCTGGCAGTCTGGGGCGGCTCTGCACGAAAGGCGAAACCATGTCGGACGATTCGACACGTTCATGTTCAGCAGCATCCCATGGCCTACATTCCATGAGCGAATCTTACTTGCGCAGTCTTCAAAATCTATCGGATTGGGTCGAGTAAGTCACTCGTCTTGTATCTTCCTTAACTTTTAGTCAGGAACACCTTCAAGCTACAGAACTGCTTACAGCGAAGCCACGACACTTCTGGAATCCTTCCCTTCATCGCACGTCTGTAGCGTTCAGGGTTTTGGGGTTGTGGGTTTCTTGCTCTGGCACCGCTCGCTGCACCTGCTCCGGATCAAAGGCATTTAGTGCAAGTAGGACTTTACAGGCAAGCAGGCTTGTCAAATGTTTCCAGGAGAACTTGACACTCAGATTGCCCAGTCCCAGCGCTTCTCAGCAGAGCATAACGAGTTTGAGTCTGTTAACACAGCAACAGTCACGCAGCAGTTTGGGACTACTTTGATGTTTCTTCGCTTTCACAAAGTTTACCCGAAACCGTAAACCGCTTGAAGCCTTGGGCTTTGTTTTTTCCGCAAGAACCCTTCTTTGTCGGACCGCCAAGCTACCCTGCTGCGAGGGCCTTGGTGGAAGCAGTTTGCCCTGCAGCGAAACTGCCTGGAAGTGAATATGTTTTCAACACCCTCCTTTCGGCTCCTGATAATCCGGAACAGCCATTGAAGTTTATTGCAGCTTGTCAACTATTGGGCGCGAGAAGGACTGTTGCAGGCAGCTCGCAGCCACAAGAGCCTCTAAAGGTTTCAGCATGTATGTGGGAGTTTCCGAAAATAGGGGACCCTAATATAGTACCCTGAATAGTAGGATCCTTATTATAGGGATACGAAAAACGAGGTACCCCTAATTTTCGGAGACCCCAAACCCCAAACCCTTCCTACAAACTTTATAGATCCCTTTAAGGAATCCTTAAGAGGTTCCTTTGAAGAGACCTGTTCGAGGACTCACATGTATGTGTCCCTTTTTGGGTACCCTAAATAATAGGTGCCGTACTATAATAGGGACCATAATTTTGAAAACCACCCATGTATGTGATGCTGTGAGTGAGGCCCGGCGATGGCGCTTCTTCAGTGCTGCTTTGAGAGCTGCTTAGCTGCAGAGCAGGGTGAAGGTTCAGTAGGGTTTTAGGGTTTAGGGGTGTAGGGTTTGGGGGTCTAGGTGTTTATGGTTTAGGGTTTGGGGTTTAGGGTTGGGACAGGGTTCATTAAACACGAGACATCACAGGAAAGGCATAGGAATTATGTGTCGTAGAAACCCAAATGTATCCTTCAATATACTCAGGAGAAGTAGAACAGTGCATAGTAGACCCCGAACCCGAATCTGAAAATGCCACGGCCCCTATAGTAGCCAGTGTTGAGGCTATTGCTCTGGGTTTGCCGAGGCCTAAACCCTAAACCCCTGAACCTCAAACCTAAACCCAGTCTGCGGTGGCTTCTGTGGCTAAGTCCTCACTGCTGACCCAGATAAAGGCTTAGCATTCAGGGTTAACAATCGTTGTTCCTGTGTGATGCGGGAATTATCGGATCTATGCGGGTATTCTGAGGGTATCACAGGGTGTGACAAAAGCTTTGAAAGAAGATCCTCGGATTACTTGGATCTTGAGGTTCCTGAAGCGTCCATGTACTCAAATTAGTATATACTTTGGGCCCAATGTACCTACAAAAGGGAGTATTTTCGGGCCAAAGCACATACTATTTGGGCACGTGGACCCTGATACCCCAAACCCTTATAGAACCCTTATGGTAGACCCTTAAAGGAACCCTTATACCCTAAACCCTTATAGAACCCCTAAAGGTACACTTGGGGGGTTTCGAGCCCTACTTAAAGGATCATGGGACTTAGTAACTAGGGTTATAATTAGGCTAACCATACTTACCACTACTTACAAACCCAATTAAGGTACTTATGACCTGACTGAGTCCCATGATCCTCCGAGTAGACCCTAAACCCTAAACCCTATAGATCCCTTTAAGGAACCCCATAGATCCCTTTAAGGAGCCCTTTAAGGAACCTTACTGAGTCCCATGATCCTCTTAGTATGGCCATCCTTGCTGAGGGACGGAGACTTTCACGTCTGGGGTTGTCGGATCTCCGACTTCAGTGTGTGAGGGTTTAGGTTTTAGGGTTTAGGGTTTAGGATTTAGGGTTTAGGGTTTAGGATTTAGCGCTTAGGGTTTAGGAGTTTTTGGATTTAGGGTTTAGGGCTTAGGGCACGAAGCACTAAGCACAAAACCCGCAACCGGAACTCTGTGGGACCTGTAAGGGTTGGCTTTGCTATCCAGGTGCTGACTACGTGGAGCTGATCTCGTATGAAGAGTCGATGCAGGAAGGTATGGCTTCGGACTCAGATCGTCTTTCAGAAGCACCCGATTCCGGAGTTTGGGGTTTGAGGATGTTTTTTCCGATCGAGGGCTTTGTGGCTTTGCGGCTGCGAGGGCTTGAGGGCAGATGGGGCTTTGGGGGTTTATGTTTATGGGGTTCGAGGTTTGGGGACCTAAACCCTAAAACCATAAACCCCTAAACCCCAAACCCCTAAACCCCTGAACCCTAAAGCCCTAAACCCCAAAACCCCTAAACCCTGAAACCCTAAACCCCTAAGCCTTAAACCCGTAAACCCTGAACCCAGAACCCCAAGTCTGGCCCTAAGTGGGTTTTTGGTCCTGGAGAACCGTATCCTGTTTCGGCTCTTGTTGTCTTGTCGGGAGCCATTTATCCACGCTGAGGCTCGTCATCTTGGGTAATCTAGGGGCCTTGATAATTAGAATAGGGTTGAATTAGAGTATATTCTACTGTAACTATAACAAGGAACCCCCGACATCCTAGGGTTTTGGGGTATATTCCACTATACTTATGATGAGGAGCCTCCTAAAACCCTTTTCTAATTTTTAAAGGTCCCTGCACTACTTCAGAAGCCCTACGCCGTATCAGAGCCATTAACTCGACTCCTAAGCCCCTTCCTCCCAAGACCCTGAACCCGAAGGTCTTGGGGGTTTAGGGCCAGGGTATATACTATAGTGTTTAGGGTATTCATCAAAGTGGACTCTTCTAAAAAATCTCCTTGATCTCATTACCGTCGGCTCTAAAGCTTACATGGTCGATGTTTTGGTTAGGGTTTAGGGTTTTAGGGTTTTTGGGTTTTAGGGTTTAGGGTGTTAGGGTGTTGGGGTTTGTTTAGGGCCCTGTAATTGCATAAAAGCTTGTTATCGTTTTTTCTGAGATCAGGTTTAGAATGGTTTACAATGTTTTACATGTTCGGGTTCAGCACCCGGAAATTCTCGACCTTACATCATTAACCCCAAAATCTCGACCCCCAAACCCCAAACCAGACACTCTGAGGCTTTCGGTTTTGTGCATCTGTCGAAGCCAGACTGGGGGCTCGAATCCTAAAGTCCGAAACCAGAAACCTCCCCCCCCCCCCCCCCGCTCCAGACCTTCCAATATTCCTAACTAACATACCCTTAAATCACATTAGGGATCCTTTCATAATTTAAGGTATACCCTTAATTCAGGGATGTTGGTCGTTAACTAAACTCGAACCCCCCCCGAACGAAACAGCAACAAGGTCACCCGCACGCTCAGCAAAATCCAGGACGGGTAGTATGGGCAAAGTTTGGGCATCAGACTTCCGTGAGCTTCCAAAGGACCCGCGTACTTAGGTACGTTGGCTTAGCATGAAAGTTATGTAATTAGGGTAGTATCTGAAGGATTATACGATTGATTGGTACTTGGAACCTTCGGGATTGGAACAGAAAGACCCCCCCTTAGTACCCATATCGTAAAAATATACTTCGACTATCAAGGAACCCCGTTTAAGGCAAAAGTTCTATACTCTTTATCTATATCTAAATCTTTCGCTGTGAACTACAAATCAAATACATGAACGAACAAATACAAAGCTAAGTAAATAACTAAAAATGATGTGTGTATGTATGTGTGTATATATATATATATATGTATGTATGTGTTCATGCATGCATCAAGGGTATG